GGCTTGTACATCTAGCTCACTCCGCACTCAGCATCTTGATAAGTCCCAGTTCAGTGGGTCACAGCTAGAAGGAGACTTTTGGAGCCCCAGATGTTTAGCTGGAGTCTGGGACTCAGAGAAGAGGAAGAGGTTGAGCAAGGTCTCCCAGGTATTTTATACTTTCATGTACATCAGATCGCTTGGATACTGACAACCACCTGGTCTCCTAGACAGACACTATTAACTCATTTAACAAACAAAGAAACAAGTTCAGGTAAGTGCCCATAGATCTCCTCCTATCTACTAAGCCTCATTACCAGCAACTATTCCCGCTTCTCTCGGTTTCCCTTGTTTTAAAGTCAATCCAGGCCGAGCGCGGTGGCTCACGCCTATAATCTCAACACTTTGGGAGGCCGAGGCAGGTGGGTCATTTGAGGTCAGGAGTTCGAGACCAGCCTGACCAACATGGTGAAATACAAAATACAAAAATTAGCCCGATGGTAATGGCGCGCATAATCCCAGCTACTTGTGAGGCTGAGGCCGGAGAATAGCTTGAGCCTGGAAGGCAGAGGTTGCCGTGAGCGGAGATTGGACCACTGCACTCCGGGAGATCCGGCCACTGCACTACAGTCTGGGCGAGAGTGAGACCCTGTCTCAATACATATTTTAATTAAATAAAATAAAATTGCCCAAACTATACACGTAACTTCAGAAAAGTGATACTCAGCTCCAAATATTCCATAAATCAAATTTGAAAATACGTGTTGCATTCCCCATCTTCCTATCCCACTTAACATGATGGAGAGATGATAGAGCATAGTAATTCTGAGGGTACGTATTGGAATCAGATCTAAGTAAATATTCTGTCTTCATCACTTATGAAGTCCATGACATTTGACCTTTTTGTGCCTTAATTTCCTCACCTGCAAAAGGGGACTATTAGCATCTATCTCATGCAGTTCTTTTAAAGGTTAAATGAGATGTCATATAAAAAATTACATAATGCTTAGCACATAATTTAATAGCTTGATTAATACATCTAGCATATATCATTATATTAAATCATAGGCTGAGTTGATCTTAGGAATTAGTCCAAGACTTTCATGCCTTTTATCAATGAACTTAAATGGAGTTAAGTAAGAAGGTTACTTTGCCAAGTAAGTTTATGCATTGGGTTGAATGGTTTCGCCCCAAAATTCATGTGCACCTATCTCAGACTGTGAATTTATTTGGAAATAAGGTCTTTGCAGATGTAATGAGTTCAGATGAGATCGTGGTGAATTAGAGTGGGCTCTAAGTCCAATATGAGTGGAGCCTTTAGAAGAAGAGAAAAGGTTGGAAGGCCAAGGTGGGCAAATCACAAAGTCAAGAGATCAAGACCATCCTAGCCAACATGGTGAAACCCCATCTCTACTAAAAACACAAAAAATTAGCTAGGCGTGGTAGTGCATGCCTGCAGTCCCAGCTACTCAGGAGGCTGAGGCAGGAGACTCACCAGAACCCGGGAAGCGGTGGTTGCAGTGAGCTGAAATTGCACCACTCCACTCCAGCCTGGCAACAGAGCAAGACTGCGTCTCAAAAAAAGAAAAACAGACATACAGAAAGGGCTGAGGCACAGAGGGAAGAAGGCTGTGAAGACAGAGGCAGGGGTTGGGATGATGTAGTTGCAAGCCAATGATCACTGGGAACCACCAGAAGCTAGGGGAGAGGCCTGGGATGGAGCATCTCTCAGAGTCCCCAGAAGGGACCAATCCTGTCAATGCCCTGATTTTATACCTCTAGCCTCAAGAGCTGAGAGAGAACATATTTCTGTTGTTTTAAGCCACCAGCTGGAAACTACTGTATTTGATGACAGAATGAGAACTAGACTCCAGATTTTTTAACCTCTAGTCTAGGTCTCTTTTACTCCACCTCTGCCTCCCCAAACCAGCAATAAACATTTATGGAACACCTACTTAGAAAGTTTACCTATTTGGAAAAAAAATGACACAATCTATAATTTCTAAGCACTTTAAGTTGTTGCCTGACACACAATAAGCATTTAATAAATATTTTACTGTTCATTTGATAAAATAATAGACATTAAAATGTTATATTTTGTTATACAAATCTAAGATATTGTTATGAACCATTTTTTAACCTCTGTGTACACTCTGCACCAGACTCTAAATTTATTTACAAGGTTTATACATTGAAGAATCACAAAGCTCCATAACTCTCTCACTTCTGCAGTCTGAAAGATACACGAGGTTCACAAGCCCTGCCTGTTCACCACTTCCAGGGGTGAAAAATTAAAAGGAAAGCAATCTGAACACCCTCAGGGACTCTGAATCCTACAACGCAGGGATGTTCTCACTTTTGCTGAGTCCTTCTACACTCACTTAGGAATAGGCAGAAGGGAAGCCAGGAAATCAGGGGAGCTGCCCATTGCTCTAAAGGAAGTAGGTCACAGAGCACTGCTCCCGCCCAGTCAGCTGGAGAAAAGAATGGGCAGTGGTTAACAGCTACAAAGGGAAGGAGATAAAGAAGGGAAGAGCTGCCGGGCATGGTGGCTCGTGGCTGTAATTTCAGCACTTTGGGAGCCCGAGGCGGGTGGATCACCTGAGGTCAGGAGTTCGAGACCAGCCTGGCCAACATGGAGAAACCCAGTCTCTACTAAAAATACAAAAATTAGCCAGGCGTGGTGGCAGGTGCCTGTAATCCCAGCCACTAGGGGGGCTGAGGCAGGAGGACCTCTTGAACCCGAGAGGTGGAGGTTGTAGTGAGCCCATTGTGTCACTGCACTCCAGTCTCCCAGGCTGGAGTGCAATGACACAATCTCAAAAAAAAAAAAAAAAAAAAGGAGGAGCTGATTCACTAGAACAACTCTTACAGTGACTCAGAGCCAGCAGAAAATAGCCTGTTCTCCCACATCTTCCTCATTGTCAGGCAATGAGGCACTTCCTCATTGCATACCCATACGCAGAGCAAAGGGAAGGAGGAGGAAATGGGATTTTTCAAGTTCTTTTGCCTGTTCCAGCACCTAACACACTGTATTTGTAACCATTTCAGATATTTTGTTTCAAGTCAATATTTATTGAGTACCTACTATGTGCCTGGTCCTTCATTTACCTTTCAGATTGTCAGTCTTCAGAACACAAGGCATGATGCCTTTCTGAAGTTTGGTATATCCTACTTCATTACTCCAGATTCACTTATGCTGCCATTGAGCACCTCCACACATGGTCTTGCTGTCCTTCATATATAGAGATGACCCTCCCAAGCCTAAAATCAACAGGAGGAGGCATAGAGCTGTCCTTCTGGCTCTAATGTTTGCTTTACGATCATCCACACCCATTCTCAGTCCACTCTGTGACAGCCAACATGAAGTGTGCAGAATGTGGCATAAGTTTGGAGTCACACATCCTTACTGGAAGTTCTTTACCATTTACCATTTACTAGCTTTTATTTGATTTCTCTGAATCAAATTGGACACGATATCTATAGGATAGATTTCTCACACAGTACTGAAGATGACATAAAATTCCATTAAATGAAAGTACGTGGCACAATGATAACATAAATACTTGTTTTTTGTTTTTTGTTTTGAGACAGAGTTTCGCTCTTGTTACCCAGGCTGGAGTGCAATGGCACGATCTCGGCTCACCGCAACCTCCGCCTCCCGGGTTCAGGCAATTCTCCTGCCTCAGCCTCCTGAGTAGCTGGGATTACAGGCACGCGCCACCATGCCCAGCTAATTTCTTGTATTTTTAGTAGAGACGGGGTTTCACCATGTTGACCAGGATGGTCTCGATCTCTTGATCTCGTGATCCACCCGCCTCGGCCTCCCACAGTGCTGGGATTACAGTCTTGAGCCACCGCGCCCGGCCATAAATACTTGTTTACTTCATTCGAACTTAATCTCACAGACTGATTGCATCCCCCGGTCAGACTGTAAACCGCATGAGGCAGGCTGCATCTGCCTTGAGGACTGTCTGACTAGGCAAGTACTAGGTCCCTAATGCTGTCTTGCGAACTATAATTGCTAAGCTTAGGGATAATGTATTAATTATTAATTAAAAATTATTTATGCATTATATTTGTCTCATAAATACTTATATTTAAAATAATGTGGTTATTGTAAATGTAACCAGTTGAATCAATCTGTGAGCTGACAGCCATTGATGGAAACGGAATTCAAAAACTTTGACCTCAGGTAGGGATACAGCTAGTTAAACATCCACTCCTCTCTCTGTTATTTGGTCCCGCCTAGGACTTGCTGCCTCTAAGATCTGCATTCCTGTGTTCACAAGGCAGACATTCCTTGCATCCTTTGTACTCTCCACTGTTTCAGCTTCACTGCAAAGCATTCCCCACAATATAATGAGGCCAAGGACAGAAAAAAGTCGCCTCAATTGGCAAGCATAGAGAGAAAAAACCTGCCACACAAATTTGCAATTATTCGACTTCCGCCTGGAAGAAAGGTCGCTGGGTTTACGTCCCCCAAAATTAGTATCCTCTTCTGTACAAAATGTGGTTGAGAGAAGGGTGATCTCCAGGTGTTTCATCTTTGCACCCTTGCTTCCAGCACCACGCCCACAGAAAAAAAGAGTGGCGGGAGCAAGGAAGCCAGGTTTTCAACAACTAATTCATTCTAATGCAGATAACAAAGCCCACTTCATTTATTAACATTCTGGATAAAATCCCAATCGCTCAGGCTACCAGAGCCCCCCATTCCTAAACTCCCCATACAATCAGGGAAAAGCACGAAGCACTAGCCACGGTCCTGCCCAGAAAGCACGCAGAAGGTGGAAAGTTGCAGACCCCGGGCCGGGAGGGGCGCGCACACGAGCCCACCCTGAAGCCCGGGACCGAGGAGGGCACTTCCTCCCGGAAGTGACGCAACTCAATCCCAGCCTTGCTCTTCCCAAACAAAAGGGATCTTGGGGCCCCGGGAGGAGCTTGAATGACATTGGAGAAGCCCCGCCTCCAGCCGGAGCGGATTGGGGCCGGGGCTGGAGAAGCAAAGAGACGATTGGTGATGGTGAATGCCAATGCCCCCGCCGGGCGGCTTGAGGGGGTGGAGCCTCAGCCGCTGTGGATGGGGAGTGGAGGCGGAGGAGAGTGGTTCCCGGAGCGTCGCGGAAAGGTAGGAGCCACCAGCCCTGGGGCTTGGTGATGGCTGGGAGGCCGGGTTCTAGAGAGCAGAGCAAGAATAGGGGCACCGATAGCCTCCCACCGCCGTCCCAGCGGCTGCTGGGCCCATCCCCTGAGGGGGCGGGGCCGTCTCCTCCACCTCCCGGTATTCCCCGAGGAGGCGGCTCCTCATCCTTCCAGGGTCCTCACAGCTACTTTTTGTCCCTCGTCGATGCCCAGCTCCTCAGGAGGGGGTTCCCTCTGACACCCCTCATTCAAAGGCTCCTCCCACCCCGCACCTCAGCCTTGGCGGAGAGGACTCACAGGTACAGATTCTCTAGGCTGCCGCCCCCAACCCCATTTTGTACCCCCGGAAGGCCATACATCCCTTCCTACACCTGTCCCAGCTCGCCAAGCTGGGACTGGAGCTGCTTTCCTCCGTAAGATAAAATTAGTGTCCAAAAAGGAGGGATGGGGCGAAGCAAAAATCAAAGACGCGACCTAGACAGCCAGCTTTACCGAGGAAGCGTCTTCCCCGACTTAAGTTCTTCCCATCCCCCATTCTCTGATACTCAGTCTTCCTCCCGCCGCCCCTGGCATCCTCTGGCCTACTGTGTGGAGTCAAGGGCTCTCCTGCTTCGGGACTTCTTTGGACTCTGAAAGAGGGAGAAATAGGACCTCTTCTCCTTTACCCTTTGTACCTTCCCTCTACTTTCTGTGCCTTCTGGGATAGTCTAGCCTCTGAGGGTTTCTTAGGTTTGAATTGCGTTTCATTTTTCCTTTTCCACCCTATTTCTTCCCTGAGAACTTGATGAAAAGCCATCTTACATTTCACAGTGAGGTGGGTGTGTTGAATATCTGCGGAGTTGGCTTTGTGTGGGCAGGAATGCAGTGTATGTGGCTTGACAGTCAATTAATAACACCGTGTTTTCAAATGAAACAGTATACAAAAGTAAATAAATAGCAGTTGATTAGGAATGAGTATATCCCAGTCTAGGGTGGGCTGGTCCATTGCTCAGGGAGACTGCAGTTAACCTTGAAGGTATACTGCAGGTTGAAACAAAAGGCAGGAAGTATTTAAAGAAAATTCAGGTTCAGTTATCCAGGTTTATGATTAGTCTAGTCCTGTGGCCTGTGGTTACTCTTTAAGCCCTTTTTTATAGTGTCCCCCTCCCCCTGCCCCCGGGAAACACATTTGATTGGCTTTACAATCATCTACCAAAATTGAGAGGATGAAAAGAACAATTTTTAAATCTCAGAGATAAGAGTAAATAAAGGCAAGATAGAAATTCTAGCTGTTCACGTTTACCAAAAAGTGTCTCTCTAGTGTGTTTCTAAAGGTTTTGTCAAGTTGGCCTTCATTTCAGCAGGTGCAAAGCGTTGATTTTGATCGCATGTTAATGTCATTGACTCCAATAATCATCTATCGCTAGCACCTTTATATATTAAAATTTGCCATACAGTATTTGTAGTGCAGTTTCTTTTGCTTTCAACCTCAAGTCCACCTCTCCACTGTCAGCTATGGCAAAAGCTGATAGCAGTAAAATGCAAGGAGTTGGAATGACAGAGGGTGATTGTAATGACTGTTGTCTTTTACCTGCTTGATTAGACTTCCTGAAGGTAATTATTTTTGAATAGTTAGGTTTCAAAGTTTCAGAACCACTGGGTGCTCACAGATCTTTTCAGCAATTGTTTCCAAATCTCCAATAAGAAAGTACAAAGAAGAAACTGGAGGTGTCTGTAGCAAACACAATGTGTGCTACAATAGAGGGGTGAGACATTGGCCCCCAGCAATTACAGCAGAAAAAACTAAAAACAGAACAGAAAATCCGAAAAAGATAAGTCATATTATGTCAGCAGAGAAAAGAAAATAAACTAAGGTAAGAGTCTAAGGAAACAAAAGTTGTGGCGATTGCCGGGCTTTAATAGGAGGAAAAGCAAACAATGTTCTTTTATTGTTTAACACACTAAGCAAGATCTGTTTGTTACACTTTTGGGTCTTGAAAATCTTTCCTTTGCTTTTCAACATCTGTTTGGTCATGCTAGATGAAGAAAAGCATAGTATGTGAGGATATATGTCTGCCCTCTCTCCTCGAATTATAAATTCTTTGAAGGCAGATAGTGGTATTTTTTGTTTTTCATCTTTGTGTCTTTCACAGTTCCTACAGTGTCTTAATGAGTGTTTAATTTAGTTTGAAGCTGTCATCTTACGGTAGACTGACAGGTAATGCACTGATAAGATGTGACACAACTTGTTAGTATAAACAGCCTACTTGTTGTCTTCTTTTAACTTGATTTTTCCCATCTGCTGTCTTATGAAATTGCAGTGTCTTAAGTGACTAAAATATTGAATTTCCTATAAAGAAATATCTGCAAGGCAGAGTGTGGTGGCTCATTCTTGTAATCCTAGCTGTTTGGGAGGCTGAGGCAGGAGAATCGCTTGAACCCATGAGGTGGAGGTTGCAGTGAGCTGAGATTGTCCTATTGCACTCCAGCCTGGGTGACAAGAGAGAAGCTTCATCTCAAAAAAATAAAAAAATAAAAAAATTAAGATTTCTGAGATTTGCTGCTAATGACTAAAAATTAAATCTTCCAAACTTCAGTTTAAAGCATTTTAGTGAGAAAATGGCTTACTTATCATGAGCCTGTAGAATGTACTTACAGCACAGACTTTAAAGGCAAACCTAGGTTCAAATTCCAACTCTGTGTGGGATCACTATGTGATCCAGGGCGAGAAAATAAATTTTCTGTCTTCACCATAGCTCAGTCTCAGTTTCCTCAACTGTGACATGGAAATAACTTGGGGAGATTTCCTTAAGGATTACACGAATAGGCCAGGCGTGGATGCTCACATCTGTAATCACAGCACTTTTGGAGGCCAAAGCGGGTGGATCACTGGAAGCCAGAAGTTTGAGACCAGACTGGCCAACATGGAAAACCCTGTCTCTACTAAAACTACAAAAATTAGCCAGGTATGGTGGTGTGTGCCTGTAGTACCAGCTACTCAGGAGGCTAAGGCATGAGAATTGCTTGAACCCAAGAGGCAGAGGTTGCAGTGAACTGAGATTGTGTCACTGCACTTCAGCCTGGGTGACAGAGTGAGACTCTGTCTCGAAAAAAAAAAAAAAAACACTTTGGGAGGCTGAGGTGGGTGGATCACCTGAGGTCAGGAGTTCAAGACCAGCCTGGCCATCATGGTGAAACCCTATCTTTTAAAAATATTTTTAAAAATTTTTTAAAAAGGATAAGATTACACAAATATACACACACGTATATCACAAAGCAAGGTGCCCAGAATATAAGAAGCATTTAGTAATTGATAGGTATTATTATTAGCACTTGGCATGTGAGTTAAATAATTTAATATTAAACATTCTTTTACTCCTTCAGCATGTTAGCAAAGGTGAAGAATTAGTGTTGGATTTTAGTTATTGACTGGTTTTGTTTTAAATTGTTCAACTTATGTCTGAGTCCTAAGGAGAGGGAAACAAAGCTTGCTTGTATATGTTGTGATCTCAAACATCTGAGCCAAGGATTTCTAGGAGAGTGTGTATCTGTCTTGGAGTGTGTGTATTTAATAATTTTGCCATGCAAATTATCTTTCTTGAGTTTTTTTGACCCAAGGAAAAAGAAGGGCAAGGGATTCAGCCAGCTGATGTCTTCTTTCTGAATTGTCAGCTGCTCTACTCCAAGCTCTACTCATTTAGCAGCACCATCCTGAATGTCATATACAGCTAGTGCTCGACTTACGACCACGATTGGTTCCGACAGGCCGGTCGTAACACAATTTGGTCGTAAGTTGAGTAGGCTATATGTACAGTACTGTGAAATGATGTTATAAAAATCTTTGTCATATTTTATTGTAATTTTCTTTATTGTTATGTATCATAATTTTCTTTGTTCATTTTATGCCATTTGTATCATCTCTACACCATTTTGTTTCTTATTTTTACATTCGTCAGGTTTAAGTAAAACACTGCATTACCAGTACAACTGGCTTAATATTTGCAAAACATACAAAATTACAAAATACAGGTGCATACAAAAATACAAAATACAGGTGTAAAGAATACCATAGGAAACATTTTCCCAATTGCAAAACATATCAAAATATATAAACATGTACGAAACATTTTATTGGCCGCTGGTGCTTGGCCGCGGATCGTTGATGTTGTCATCTGAGGCAGCAGTTGGGGTTACTGGAGTTGGTTTTTTCATAAACATGGTGAGCTTTGTCTGAATTGTATGTTTCTTTTTTTCTTCATAAATTTCACGGTACGGACGAAACACATCATGCGCCATCCATTCAATCCTTACAAATCGTTCGATGTTTGGGTCCATTGCTTCGAAATGTATAAGAAGTTTATTGGGAGGGGTTTGATAAAAAATATCCAAGACACAAAACACAAACTGCTGTACCGAGTCTGGGATAACAGTTGAAATGGTGCACGCGGAGATGGTAGTGCTGCCGGAAGCTGGTCCGCACTGTCGTACGCCCAGCTGGGCAACGTTTGCGCCGCCAGACACAGAGCAGTCATGGCTAGCGCCGATTGTGGTCGTAAAGTCGAATGGTCGTAAGTTGCATAGGTCGTAAGTCGATCAATACCTGTAAATGGTTTTGTGGATACTGTGATTACTGTGCAGAATTGTACCTTCTGTGAAATTTAAGCGACTTTTAATGATAATTTTGATTAAAAGTGGTTTTTACCCTACTTTTAAAGACAGCCTCCCCCACTGTCCCCAAAGTAAGGAGCCATGATACGAACAACCAAAACTGGAGTGAGAAGAAAACATGGATAGGGGAGTTGAGTAGAGGTTGGGGAAGGTGAAGGGCGGGAGTTTGTGTGTTCGAGAAAACAAGACTACAAGGAGGCATTAAACTATATAATGCAATACACTGTAATATGGTTCCTCTTTGCCAGTTATTTCCAAACTCTACATTTCAGGTACAGAGCCAAAACTTCCAATCTAAATGTGTCATTTGCAGTGTAATTAATCCTTTCTGAATTCTGG